TCTTTGCTGAAGAGTGCATATGTTTATTGTTCAACATATTTCAGAGCTGAAGCGAATTTACATCAGGTGTTCGACTTCATAGTGTCGTGTTTTGTTTTCCGGCGTTGTTTGCAGACAGATTGGGTCGGTTCGCCTTTGTTTGACCATTGACACAACTCCACGATCTCGACCCCCAAACTTCACCCAACACTTGGCCGTGACTGGTGTTTTTGTACACGGCGCACGCTGCAATTCTGCAGCGTCGCGCAACTCTGGGTCGAAGAACCGGTGCCTGGCACACGCGGCGCGGCCTTCACATCCGGCCGCGCGAGCACCAACGTAGTGTTCCCCAGCCTCAGAATGGCCGGCCACACGACACCTAATGTTGACCCAGAATCTAAGAGAACCCGGAGATCCGTCGTATTCAAAAAACAATCAAGACAGAGGTGTTTGGCACATTTCGGCCCTTGGGGGCCCTCGCCGGGCCTCGGGACCGTCTAAAAACGATTCGGGATGAAACACCGGTCCTGGGGAAGGGGTCGAGACTTCCAGGGACCCCGTTTTGGAAAAAACGCAACATCGGATCTCTGGGAACCCCGACCCCCTTCCTCCGCGTCTCTCTCTCTCTCTCTCTCTCTCTCTCTCTCCCCCTCCTCTGCGACCGGCCCTGGGTAGTCTCAGCTGGCCTCTGGCCTCGACAGGCCCCTCCGGGTAGCCTGGTGCGGTCTCAGCACCTCAGCCCTTGTGCGCGGCGCGCCCCAGGGGCGCCGCCGGAGGCGGCGCCAGGGGCATCAGACTGCCCCGGCCTGCTGAGGCTAGCTGGACCCCTCGTGGGACCTGGTGTGGCCAGCCAGGACTACCCGAGGGACTGTCTGGGCGCAACTCGACGCCTCACCACCCCTTCCTCCGCTCCTCTTCTCCTCTCCGACCCCCTCAGAGCACCGAGGGGACGGTACCGACGAGTCCCGCACCATGGCGGCGCGAGTGCGAGCCCGGCAAGCCGGGCGTCTGCGCGCGCAAGGTCGTGCTGCCGATCACCCTCTGGCCCGGCGGGCGCCCGGGACTTGAGCCAGCTTTCTAGTGCAGGAATGATGGGCAAATTCTCCACCACCGCTACCACATGTAGGGCGGGGGAGAAGGGAGGATCAGGTGGTCCTCCTCCTCCTCCTCCTCCTCCTCCTCCTCCTCCTCCTCCTCTTGCTCCTCCTCCTCCTCCTCGATCCTCCTCCTCGATCCTCCTCCTCCTCCTCCTCCTCCTCCTCCTCCTCCTCACCTATGGTCGTGGTGGTGGAGAATGGGCCCATCCAAGGGGGGGGGGGAGGCGAGGCGAGGCGAGGCAAGGCGAGGCGAGGCGCGGCCAGCCACTCAATCAATCCCCGCGGGGCGGCTCCGCGGTGCGCAGAGCGCACGGAGGGGCCGGACAGCTGTGGAGCTGCGAAGCACGACTTCAGGACAACCCATCTCCTCCTCCTCCTCCTTCTCCTCCTCCTTCTCCGCCTCCTTCTCCTCCTCCTCCTCCTCCTCCTCCTCCTCCTCCTCCTCCTCCAGACAGCCGCGGAGCCACGTGGGCACAAGAGCTATGTTGCTCCCATCGCACTCAAGGACAACCTCCCAGAAATCATTCCGAGCACCCAGAAAAATATCGGCACAATGTCGAACGAGTATCGCCTCCCAGGGCCCGACGCGAAAACCCTCCAGTTTCGGTATTTCCCTGGTGATCGAAACTCGTTCAGGCGATCAAGGCTACAGTAACTTGGAACATCGTAACAGAAGAGATGGATGCGATGCACCGGAGACGCGCAAGCAAGAGGGTCCTGTTGGAAGCAAACGGCCTCTGAGTCCGCTGGCACTGCACGGAGGAATACGGCAAAATCGCGTCGTGACGACCCCGACACGGGTATCTGACACCGCGTGGATCGTTCAACCTTGAACGATCGGCGGGGTGACTCCTCGATCGCCCGATCGTCCCATATAGGCCGACTCTGGGTCACTGGCGGCGTTCAACCTTGAACGCCCGCGGCGGGGTCGCCGCCAGTCGACACGACGCGAACCTACCGTAAAGTTCTGTTGCTCCCATCGTACCTGAGGAACAATTCCCAGAAATAATTTCGAGCACCCAGATAAGTGTCGAAGGAGTGCCGAAAGAGTGTCGAAACAGTGCCGAACGAGTGTCTCCCAAGGCCCGACACGTGAAAACCCTACAGTTTTGGTACTTTTTTCTTGTGCTCGAAATGCGTTCTGGTGATCAAGGCTAAAATAGATTGGACCATCAGAGTCGTGAGGTGAGGGGGGACGAACGGCAGGGGGGGCAGTGGCTCGACGTTCGAGGTCGTCCTCCGTGTGCGTCGGATCTCAGCGGTCCTCCCAATCTCGGGATGCCCTCCTCCTCCACCTCCTCCTCCGCCTCCTCCTCTTCCTCCTCCTCCGCCTCCTCCTCCTCCTGCTCCTCCTCGGTCCTCCTCCTCGATCCTCCTCCTCCTCATCCTCATCCTCGTCCTCCTCCTCCTCCCCCTCCTCCTCCTCCTCCTCCTCCTCCTCCTCCTCCTCCTCCTCCCCCTCCTCCTCCCCCTCCTCCCCCCTCCCCCTCCTCCCCTCCTCCCTCCTCCTCCTCCCCTCCTCCTCCTCCTCCTCCTCCTCTTCCTCCTCCTCCTCCTCCTCCTCCTCGATCCTCCTCATCCTCCCTCCTCCTCCTCCTCCTCCTCCACTCCTCCTCCCCCCCCCCTCCTCCTCCTCCTCCTCCCCATCCCCCTCCCCCTCCCCTCCCCTCCCCCTCCCCTCCCTCCCCCTCTCCTCCCTCCTCTTCCCCCTCCCCTTGCCCCCCCCCCCCCCTCCTCCCCCTCCTCCTCCCCTCCTCCTCCTCCTCCTCCTCCTCCTCCTCCTCCTGCCTCCTCCTCTTCCTCCTCCTCCTCCTCCACTTCCTCCTCCGCCTCTCCTCCTCCTCCTCCTCCTGCTCCTCCTCGATCCTCCTCCTCCTCCTCCTCCTCGATCCGCCTCCTCCTCCTCCTCCTTCCTCCTCCTCCTCTTCCTCTTCCTCTCCTCCTCTTCCTCCTCGATCCTCCTCCTCCTCCCCTCCTCCCCCTCCTCCCTCCTCCTCCTCCTCCTCGTCCTCCTCGTCCTCCTCCTCCTCCTCCTCCTCCTCCTCCTCCTCCTCCTCCTCGATCCTCCTCTTCCTCCTCCTCCTCTCCTCCTCCTCCTCTCTCCTCCTCCTCCTCCTCCTCCCCTCCCCCCTCCTCCTCCGCATTCTCCTCCGCCTCCTCCTCCTCCTCCTCTTCCCTCCTCCTCCTCTCCCTCCTCCTCCTCCTCCTCCTCCTCCTCCCCCTACTCCCCCTCCTCCTCCTCCTCCTCCTCCTCCTCCTCCTCCTCCTCCTCCTCCTACTCCCTCTCTCCTCCTCCTCCTCCTCCTCCTCCTCCTCCTCCTCCTCCTCCTCCTCCTCTTCTGTTCCCGGGTGTCCGGGATCTTCCAAGAAGGGCCGCCGAAGGCCCGAGAAAGTGACCTGACGACCACCAGGGGCTGCATCTTCACGGGGGAACATCGACCTGGAGTAGTCGGCGATAGGCTTCTGGTAGCGTAACCGCTCGACACAGGCGCCAGCAAAAATGGCCAAGATCTACTCCAAAGGGGCGGGGGAGGACGGGGGGGTGCGAGGGCCCGCGCCGATCGGCAAACCAATGAAGAGAAAGACGCTCACCTTGCCATCGCTCGGACGTCCAGTTCCCCGTGCATGTCTCGGTGTCGTGCGTGCTCTTCTGTGGTCAGCCGATCCAGGAGACGCCCGCGCGAGGCCGAGGCCCGGTCCTGGGTGGGGCGGGCGATGGGGCCCCCATCGGCGACAAAGCAGCGATTGGGCGCCGCTGCGTCCAGTCCTGGGCGCAGCCCTCCGTGACGTTGCCCCTGCGTCCACGAGAACCCCGACTCGACTCCCTCCGCCGCTCTTCTCTCTCCTCTCCGAATCCCTGGCGCCCCTGGCTTGCACATCATGATCGGCTCTCGGGCGGCAGTCATGGACCATCCGAGTCTCCCGGAATGCCATCGGCAAGGCGCAGTTGCTCGAAGGCAACCCGAGGCCCTAAGACCGACGAGCACCGACGCACAAGCCCGAGAACATCCTACGGTCTATCCCTAGCCCGAAAACTCCACCTGACCTTCTCCCCCTTGTGGAACCCGTCACCCGACGAACAAATCCAAAAATCTCAAAACTTGAACCTGGAAGGTATCCCTAACGTTGCCCCTCACGCTGCCCTTGACCCAAGACGTGACTGTGTGGGGGTTCCATGGCGGCGCCCGATAAAGGTGCAGCGCAACGCGGCTTTTTGAAGGGCGGAGGCTAGGAGGGGGGAGGGAGGAGAGAAGGCAAGGCTGAACCTAAACGGTGTTTATCGTTTTCGTTTTGTTGTCGCTTTCCCTCGCCTTTGTCTCGAATCCGCCTTTACCGCAAAACGAAGTCGAAACGAAAACGGCTAACGAAATCGCCAAAAACACCGTTTAGGTCCAGCCCTGAGAGAAGGATGACTTCCGAAACGCGACGAGGACCTCCCAGAGGAGTGCACCTCCGGATTGCTGGTGGACCCTGCTCCCCGAGGCCGCCTTCTCCTCCCGCGGGCGGCTCTCTACAAGCTCGGGGCCCCGGTGGAGCGCAAACTGCGAACACATGTCGCCAACATTAGGCCGCCATTCTCCTCCCGGGGCGGCTCTTACAAGCTCGGGGCCCTGGTGGAGCGCAAACTGCGAGCACACGCCGCCAATATTTCTACCCGGGTGCGAGCAGCTCTCCCCATGGGCCTCTCCCTCCCGGGATGTGCAGGGGGGTCCGACCTGCGAGCTCGAAACCGACCGGTGAGCCTCGGCCCTCCTCCGAGCCCCCTTCGGAGGTCCAGCACGTGCGAGACGGGCCATCGAACCTCTCGGCCTTCCCTCCGGCGCCGCCTCTGGTGCCCATCCCGCCTCCCTGCCTGGCCGCTCGCCGTGGGCGCGCTCGGGGAGCTCGGGGCGGCGCGGCGGCAGCCCCCCTGCCACCCCCCGCCTCCGCGAGCCCCTGGAAGCAGGGCTTGTCCCAGCTCTTCTCGCGGGAGGGGCAGGCGGCCGCCGCCGCCGCCGTCGTCCTCGAGGTGGTCGCCGTCCAGGGGGGGCAAGCTGCCGTCGACGTCGTTGCCGCCGACGTCATCGACGAAAACGACGGCATCGAGTCCGCCGTCGTCGTGGTCGCTGCCGTCATGGAAGGAGGGCTGGGCGGTCGAGATGCGAAGGGGGGAGGGAAGGAGGCACCCGTGCGAGCAGAAAGCCGACTCGTGTGAGCTGGCCGAAGGCGCTTCGACGTACATCCGCGCTTGAGGGCCGCAGCCAGAGCTCGATCGCACAGAGCTGGCAACGGCCCACACCCTGTAGCCTCGGTTCGCAGCAGGCTGCGGAGCGTTGCTTGGAACCTCCGCCGAGAACCCCCTCCCCTAGAAAGAAAACAACACACGTCAGGGTTGCACCCTCATGACTTGCTGAACTCTGGCGGAACCGCGACAGCGGCGGTGGCCGGCGCGTCCAAGCCTGGCGGCGTGCGAGGCCAAACTGCCAGAGGTTCAATATCCACGGAACTGTACCCCGACCTAGATCGAAGAAGACACCAAAATCTGGAGCCCCGCCTGAGCTCAAAGTGGTCAGTAGTTCAACATCTTGACTGCACAGGGAAGCAGCAGCCGAGCAGCAGAGAGCGGAGGAGTACTGTTGACAAAAGGTAGTCGCGCCATAACTCCACAAAAGAACTTCCGCCACCTCGGAACGCTGTACCAAAACATTCGATCGACTGCAATTTGGCATGAACGCGAAATTACACAATGGTCAAAGGGCTTCTTTATGCCGTGACAGTGGGAACCAGTAGGTTGCTTGTTCAGTAAACATAATAAGGGTTCTGGCCCTTGCACAGCAAAACGCGACACGTACTTCCCTTCGTCTTGACGGCCGACATTTCGAGGCCGAATTGACGGTTGACGATCTTCGCCTTTGCGAACCGAGATTTGAGGCCGAAGTGACGACCCGTCTCTTATTGCAAAAGGGGGGTACGAACCGAGTTGGCCACTGCTTTTGCCCTGGCGAATGCAGTGCCCAGGCCGAGTTGAAGACTCTCTCGCCTTGGCGAACGGGTTGTTGAGGCCGAGTTGACAACCTCGTGCGAGCGCTTCTCGAGGCAGGCGCCGACTCAACCACTAGGTTGGACACGCGAGTTCCCGGCCACGCGGTGTGGAACGCACACGCTGGGGGTTCCTCCTCCCCCCCTCTCAGGGGGAACGTTATTGTGGGACCGGCTCAGGGGGGAAACATTCTTATTATTATTCTTATTATTAATAGTACTATTATTATTATTCTTATTATTATTATTTGTCTTCTTCTTCGTATTACTATTATTATTCTTCTGTTTCTGCCTGGGATCGGCGATACATCGCCGATAGATCGGCAGTGGGAACCTTATAGCGAATCCCTTTGCTCTTGGGCGGGGGGCGGGGGGCGGGCGATCGCGCTCCTGTCGCCCATGCATGGGCGACGGGGGGTCGACGCACTCCTCCCAGAGTCCTTCCCCCCTAACGTTGCCCCTGACTGCTGCCCCGCCTCCTCCTCCTCCTCCTCCTCCTCCTCCTCCTCCTCCTCCTCCTCCTCCTCCTCCTCCTCCTCCTCCTCCTCCTCCTCCCCCCCCTCCTCCCCTCCTCCTCCCCCTCCTCCTCCTCCTCCTCCTCCTCCTCCTCTCCTCCTCGTCCTCCTCCTCCTCCTCGTCCTCCTCCTCCTCCTCCTCCTCCTCCTCCTCCTCCTCCCCCTACCCTCCTTGTGCGGCGGTATGTAGAGGGACACGTCGATGTCCGAGCCGCCCTGCGCGCGGGTCCCGCGCGTCGCGGGGCGCCGGCCCAGCGGAGACTCTGGGGGGCGCCGCCTCGCCCCCAGGGGGTCCCGCCAGCGACGGCGCGAGCGAGATGCGCTGCTGCACGCTCGGGAGCGGCCAAGAGGGGGGTGTCCAAGAGGGGGGGGTGCAAATCATGACCGGCGGCATGTGCGCGGCTCAGCGGGGGGGCCAGGGACGAAAGGAAAGGAGAAGAGGCGCCATGAAATCCGGGGAAATATCATGGCCCACGCCATGATATCCCCCCCTCCCCCTAGTCATCACCCCCTCTTTTCCGCCCCCGACACGCGATCGACGAGCCACTCCAACCGCCTGCCCGGGCCTGCGCCCTGCGAGGGTGCGGAGCGGGGGCCCCGGGTCCAAGCGCCCGCCCCTGGAGCGCAAGCTTTCTCGGCCGCGCCCTGCCCCCCGGGCGGCCGGCCAGATCAGGCTGGGTGCAGCGGGGGGGCCATGGTTAGGAGGGGCACGTCCTCCTCCATGAGGATTCGGATCGAAACATGGAGCGTAGTCCACAGAGACTTTCTGTCAGGAGACGAACACATCGTCACCATACCATGTTTGAACTGTTCTTGGCTATTCTTCCTGTAGAGAGGGACATGCCCGACTTCAGGCGATGGGTCGAACTAGAAAAAGAAACATCTGCGCAAACATCAGCCTTTGGCGCTCCGCGCGGATCTCTCGGATCCGCGCTGGACCCTTCTCCCCGGCGCGCGGAGCGCGCCAGTGGCGGCGCTGGAGGCGCCGCCGCAGGGAGCTCCGGCGCAGATCCAAGATATCCGCGCGCAACGTCAAAGTTTTTGATTGTTCGGCGGTAGACAAACCTCCCTTAGTAAACCACCCTCGAGCGAAAACGGCCTGAGAAAGACCGAAACCGACGGACCTGGACGCGCCGAAGACATAACGGCCGCGGCGCCCTCTCGCGAACCGAAAACGGCCAGTGCACTAATCGACGTGTCAGGGTAGGAGGTCTATCAACCGCCGATGTATGGCGTCGATCCTTCTTCGGCGAACGTCGGTGGACTCGATGCCCTCGGCATCTCTTGGGCCTCGGAGGCCCGCTGTGGCCACGGCTCGACGCCGCTGGGTGTGCTCAGTTAAAGAAGCCCAGGGACACACACACACACACACACACATCAATGCACACGGTTAACAAGATCCCCCAGATTCTCCCATATGTCCCCATATCCTAAGATGGGGTTCTTGTTATTTCTTGGAAGCCGCCGACTCCAGAGAATGGGAGCACACCCAGGACACGGACTTACTCATGCACAGACTTACTCATACTCAGACTTACTCATATCCAGACGTAGTCATACATGGACTTACTCATACCCAGACGTACTCATACACAGACTTACTCATATTCAAACTTCCTCATACTCTGACTTATCATACTCAGACCCACGCATACTCAGACTTACTCATACCCAGAAATACACATACACAGACGTACTTATACACATACTTACTCATACTCAGACGTACTCATACCCAGACGTACTCATACACAGACTTACTCGTACTCTGATGTAGACATACTCAGACCTTCTCATTGTATGAGTTACTCAACACATGGCAGAGTTTGAGGGTGTCTCAGGCGGGGCGCTGGCTTCAGCACCCCTGAGGGGAGCCGCCAGGGGGTATATCACGGGCCCGTTCGCGGCAAGTTTGTGGGGATGCCTCAGGCAGTTTGCCTGTCGTCGCCCAACATCGTCTGCGTCTACATCTGATTCTGAGGATGTCTCAGGCGGGGCGCTGGTTTCAGCACTCCTAAGGGGAGCCGCCATGGCGGTATATCACGATCCCGTTCGCGGCCAGTTTGTGGGGATGTCTCAGGCGGTTTGCCTGTGTCGGTGCCCAACATCGTTTGCGGTTACAGCTGATTTTGAGGATGTCTCAGGCGGGGCGCTGGTTTCAGCACTCCTAAGCCGTTCGCGGCCAATGTGTGGCGATGTCTCAAGCGGTTTGCCTATTTTCGGTACCCAACATCGTTTGCGATTACAGCAGGTTTGGAGGATGTGTCAATCGGGGCGTTGGCTTCAGACTTACGCATACCCAGACGTTCATATACACAGATGGACTCCTACACAGACTTACTCATACTCAGGCTTACGCATACTCAGACGTACTCATTCACAGACTTACTCGTACTCATACCTAAACATACCCAAGCCTTCTCAATATATGAGCTACTCAACGCACGGCAAGTGTTGAGGATGTCTCAGGCGGGGTGCTGGCTCCAGCACCCCTAAGGGGAACCGCCAAAGGGTATATCACGGGCCCGTTCGCGGAAAGTTTGTGGGGATGCCTCAGGCGGTTTGCCTGTTTCGGTGCCCAGCATCGTCTGCGTTTACAACAGATGTTGAGGAGCCGCCAGGGGTGTTTTCACGGGCCCTTTCGCGGCCAGTTTGTGGGGATGTCTCAGGCGGTTTGCCTGTTACGGTGTCCAACATCGTCTGCGTCGATAGCAGATTTAAAGGATGTCTCAGGTGGGGCGCTGGTTAGAACACTCCTTACATGAGCCGCCGAGGGGTACATCACGGGCCCGTTCATGGCAAGTGTGCGGGGATGCCTCAGGCAGTTTGCCTGTGTCGTCGCCCAACATCGTCTGCGTCTACAGCTGATTCTGAGGATGTCACAATCAGGGCGCTGGTTTCAGCATTCCTAAGCCGTTCGCGGCCCATTTGCGAGAATGTCTCAGGCGGTTTGCCTGTTTCGGTAACCCACCATCGTCTGCGATTACAGCAGATTTGAAAGGATGTCACAATCGGGGCGCTGGTTTCAGCACTCCGAAAAGGGAGCCGCCAAGGAGTATATCATGGGCCCTTTCGCGGCCAGTTCGTGGGGATGTCTCAAGCGGTTTGTTTGTTTTCATGCCCAACATCCGTAGTTTTCAAAGCAGATGGTGAGGATGTTTCAGGCGGGGCGCTGGTTTCAGCACCCGTAAGGGGGGGCCGCCAGGTGTGTTTTCACGGGCGTGTTCGCGGCAAGTTTGTGGGAATGTCTCAAGCGGTTTGCTTGTTTTCATGCCCTAACATCCTTTGCTTTCAGAGCAGATTGTGGGGATGTCTCAGGCGGGGCGCTGGTTTCAGCACCCTTTTACGGGGGCCGCCAGGGGTGTTTTCATGGGCCCGTTCGCGGCCAATGTGTGGCGATGTCTCAAGCGGTTTGCTTGTTTCGGTGCCCAACATTCTTAGCTTTCACAGCAAATCGTGAGGATGTCTGAGCCGGGTCGTTGGTTCCAGCACCCCTAAGAGGGGCCTGCCACGGGTGTTTTTTTCACGGGCCCGTTCGCGGCCAGTTTGTGGGGATGTCTCCGGCGGTTTGCTTGTTTTCATGCCCAACCTCCTTGGGCTTCAAAGCAGAATTTGAGGATGTCTCAGGCGGGGCGCTGGTTTCAGCACCTCCAGAAGGAGCCGCCAGACGCTCACTATGGCACGACATGAAAAATGAAATGCGCATGTGCGGAGCTCCACGCAGTGAGTAATGTTTGGACTCTCGTCTCCGCCCCCACTTCCCATACTTTGTTGTTTTTCCCGGAGATGGACGATCAAATCATTCCCTTTCTGATTACTCCAGCTGCCCCGGGCGGCGGCAATCTGGGGCCCCCGCCGGACACGGCCTGGAGAGCGAGCAGCCGCCCTGGGGCACGGGCCTCCGAACACAACCCGCGGGCGGGCATCGTGGGCGCGCAGACGTGGACTCGCGATCCGTGGATTCGGCGCGTGGGCGCCTACAGTCGACCCGCAAAGTAAGGATAGGCATCCCTCCCCAGGGTGCCCTAGCATCCTTGCTGCCTAGGTCCATCCGTGGATACTGTCGTTGGCGGCGCCCCGCTCAAAACGCTTCGAAATGGGCGTCCAAGGCCCTTGCACCCTTATCGCGCATCCTTATTATACGGGTTGACAGTAGTCCATGAGTCGGGGGAAGTGCCCTCCCCAAAATGCGGCCGGCGCCGCCTCGCTCGGCGGCGGGAGTCCGCGGTTTCCCAGGGAAGCGGGACCCGTCGCGAATCCAGGCCCCCCTTTGATCCAAGTTTGCGATCGCCTGGGAGCGCGTGAGATTAGGTCGGGCATGTCCCCCTGCAGGCGGATTCTGGACGAAAGATGAAACAGAGTCCACACATGCTCCAAGAGAGAATCAACAAATTACGCTACCGAGAAACCCCACATACTTATGTTATGTCACGTGTGTGCACAAACCATGTCACATCTCGCTTCGCCATCCTGACGGGAGACTAACCAGACCAGCCAGATCAGCCAGACTGACGAGACCAGCCAGTTCGTTCCAGCCATAACCAGCCACAATAACCAGCCAACCGGCCACCAATTTCGAAGCTGGCGGCCGTAAGCTTCAAAAGCGGATTTGATGAACCTGTCCATGCCATGCTTTTCGATGTACTGTTGCAGCCCTGCCAGACTAATGTCGACGCTCATCTCGACCATCCGGTTCAAGAGAATGGTGCACGGAGGTGGCAATTCGGCCACTGCACATTTTGGGGGCATGCCTGTGGGCGCCTGCTGTTTTTGAGCTTGCTTGAGCCGAGGTGCCTACAGTTAGCCTTGCTGAGGATACTTTTGCCGCGTACACGCCTGAGGCACCAATGCATACTGCCCAAGATATAGACTCCAGAAAATGTCAAGGCTGCTACGCTATCTACGTACCCTCTGCTGTCAAACCCCCTGTGGCGTCGAGGAAGTGCCACGCCTGCCACGCCCTGAGAGCCTGCAGCGCACAGGGCCCCCACCCCCAGCGTACCCCCTTTGACGTCGAGGACATGCCACGCCTGCCGCGCCCTGGGAGCTTGCAGCGCACCCCTCCGGTGTCGAGAAAGTGCCACGCCTGCTAGGCCCTGCGACATTGGCGCGTATAGAGACCGCGGTGGGCCCCTACCCCCAACGCACCCACTGTGGCGTCGAGGAAGTGCCACGCCTGCTAGACCCTGCGACATTGGCGCGTAAAGAGACCGCGGTGGGCCCCCACCCCCAGCGCACCCCCTGTGGCGTCGAGGAAATGCCACGCCTGCTAGGCCCTGCGACATTGGCGCGTTTAGAGACCGCGGTGGGCACCCCCCCCCAGCGCACCCCCTTTGACGTCGAGGACATGTCACTCCTGCTAGACCCTGCGACATTGGCGCGTTTAGAGACCGCGGTGGGCCCCCATCCCCAGCGCACCCCCTGTGGCGTCGAGGAAGTGCCACGCCTGCTAGGCCCTGCGACATTGGCGCGTATAGAGACCGCGGTGGGCCCCCACCCCCAGCGCACCCCCTGTGGCGTCGAGAAAGTGCCACGCCTGTTAGGCCCTGCGACATTGGCGCGTATAGAGACCGCGCTGAGGGACCACCCCCTGCGCACCCTCTCTGGTGTCGAGAAAGTGCCACCCCTGCTACGCTCTGCCGTGCCGTGCCCTGCGCGCCAGCCTTGTGTGCTATGCTGTGCTGTGCTGTGCTGTGCTGATGTGCGGTGAGCTGTGCTGTGCTGTGGTGTGCTGCGGTGAGCTGTGCTGTGCTGTGCTGTGCTGAGTTGAGCTGAGCTGAGCTGTGCTTCGCTGTGCCGTGCTGAGCTGAGCTGTGCTAAGCAGTGCTGTGAGGAGGAGGAGGGGGAAGAGTGAGGTGAGTGTCGCGGGTGTGTCGCGGGTGCGGCGCGGCAGGGAAGAAAACCATAACCCCACGAAGCACGTGGGGAATAATCAAAACATTGCCCTCCTGAGTCTTCCTCCAGTAGAGGGACATGCCCGACTTGAATGTGAGACCAAGCCAGGGCGAGGATCGAATCGGGTGGGGATACATCGAGAATCTCTGAGCTCCGACAATTGTGGAGGATGTCTCGGGCGCCGAGGCCTTCTCAAGGCGCCCAGGGACCGCTCCGAGAGCGCTCCGGAACGCTCTGGAGCGGAGTTGTCCTCGTCCTGGCCCTGTCCCAGCATGCATTCTGCACTCCCGGGCCCGGGGCGGCCACGTCCGGACCCGGGGGCGTTCAAGAATCGGCTGGCGCGCCCAGGGGGGGAAGGCAGCTGCAGGGGAACGAAACACGACACAAGCATTAGAATTCGGAGGTCCGCGCTGATGTCTTGGATCCGCGCTGGACCCCCCTCTCTGGCGCGCGAAGCGCGCCAGGGGCGGCGCCGGAGGCGCCGCGGGGGCCCCGCCGCCGATCCGAGAAATCCGCGCGGACCTCCGGGTTGTTATGCTTATGCCTTCGCTTGTTTCCTTATGATTTTACTATTTTTTTAGCTTCGACCGGAAGAGGCTCGCTCTCGACCCGCGGCGGCCGCGGATCAAAAAACAGTTTCCCTAAGATCAGGTCGGGCCTGTCCTCCTAAAAGGGAGGTTGTGGGCGAAAAACTAGAAATACGAAAACAATACTACGCAAAAAATGCCAGAAACAAATTACAAAATAGTCCCCAGACTATATTTCTGACTCTTTCGAAATATTCCCCTGTAGAGGGACGTGCACGACTGGACCACAAGATGGGGCGGGCCTTCTCAGGAGGCTCCGCGCTCTGAGCCTTCCTTCCAGAGCCCCGCCCCCATCGTGAAGCGAAAGGCCTGCGCCTGCACGCCCTCCTCGGCGAGCCGCCGGAGAAAGAGGCGACCTCGTTTCTCCTCCCTCCTCGCTCCTCGCAACTGCTCCTGCCTCCTCGCTCCTCCCCTCTCTCCACCCTCCTCCCTCCTCGCGCCCTCCTCCCTCCTCGCTTCTCCTCCTCCCTCCTGCTGCTCCCTCCTCCCTCCTGCTGCTCCCTCCTCCCTCCTGCTGCTCCCTCCTCCCTCCTCCTCCCTGTCCGCCCTCCTCCCGCCTAGCGCCCTCCTCCTTCCTCGCTCCTCCTCCTCCACCCTCCTCGCGCCCTCCCCCCCTCCTCCCCCGTGCCTCCTCGCGCCCCCGAGCCGTCTTGGGCAGGCGCGCGCACTGAGCACCGTGCACCCCGTCGCTGGGTGGCCCCGCGGGACCGGCAGGGCGCTGGAGGCCTCTTCGGGGGGGGCAGCGGCAGGACCGGTGACAGGGGAGCTTTTCTGATGGGCCTGCTTGCCACCATCACCACCACGAGTTGGAGAGGGAAGTGGTCCTCCTCCTCCTCCTCCGCCTCCTCCTCCTCCTCCTCCTCCTCCTCCTCCTCCTCCTCCTCCTCCCCCTCCTCCTCCTCCTCCTCCTCCTCTTCGTCCTCCTCCTCCTCGTCCTCCTCCTCCTTCCCCCCTCCATCTCATGGTGGTGGTGGTGGTAAACAGGCCCATCATTTTCTCGAAGAAGACGCATCGGCAAATTGACACGGAAACCTTCGGAGCTCCGCGCGGGATTCTCGGAATGGGACTGGGCCCCCCTCCCTGGCGCGCGCCAGGGGGGAGGCCTGGCACAGATCCGAGAATTCTTCGGTGGCAACTCATGGGATTAGCCTCGCCGCTAAATCGCCGCTAATCGACGCTAAGTCGACGCTGCTCGACACTGAATCGGCGCTATCTCATAGACTCCCAATCGCTAGTCGACGCGAAGCCGCGCGAAAGACGGAAATAAGAGTTCATGCCAGGCTCCCATGATTTGCTGACGAAGAAGATCTGCGTGGACCTCCGAAAACTAGATGCCTGTGCCGACCTGTTCTGTTCGAGCTCCAGTCGACCCGTATCTTGGTGGCGCGCACAAGGGAGTAGGGGGAGGGGGGAAGCCTTCTAAGAAGGAGGCTGCTTCTTAGAAGGTGCTGGCCTTACGTCTACAGACAAGGCCCGCGCCTTCTAAGAAGCAGGGGTGCTTCTAAGAAGCCCTCCCCCCTCCCCCCACCCCCCTCTGCGTGTGGCGGTGGACCAAAGCGAGTGTGGACCACGGGTCCGCGTGGCTCTCAAGCATCAAGAGCCCGAATGCGGCATCCTCAATTCGGGAAGACGGCAAGACCATCTGGGTGGATTCGGCCGGCAGCCTGCGACGACAAAGGAGAGGGCATGAGGATGGCTGTACAACGCGGCGGACGACGAGAGCTTCATCCCTGCAAAAGGCAAAGGCACAGCCAAGGGTGCGGCAAGCCCTTCATATCCTACGAGCTCGGAGCCTTCAGCACCGACATAGGGAACGGCAACGGCTCCGAACTAGGCATGCGAGAAGACCAAGGACGTCAAGGACCGGATCTACGACAAGAAGACAATCTACGACAAGCAAACGGTCAAGCAGACGGTGAAGGAACCGATCATGGACCCAGCTACCCGTGAGCATCGACCTGAGTGGCTCACGATTCAGGGAAGGAACCAACACAAGGAGAAGGTGAAGTGCAGTCAGTGCTTCCAAGTGCTGGAAGACCAGGACACACCTGAGTGTGTGGAGGATAAACGGAGGCGTGCCGAGGCTAAGAAGCGCTTTGCCAAGACGAGTTGGTCGGGAAAGGCAGCACCCAGCAGGGATGGTAAGTGCGATTGAGCTGTGAGCGCAGTGGCGCCGCATTGTTTGACAGCCGAGCTTCGATGGGCTGACAATTTCTTCTGTAACGCAACGAGCTTTGCTGCGAATGGGCGCCCAGGCCCGAGCTTGCACCCTAGAGCTGAAAGATACAAACCTGTGTGATTTAGAAATTCGTGTGCATACTGGTGCTTACACGTGCAACTCATGATGCATGCTATGGACATGCATGCTGCATGCTCAAACCGTTGAAGCGAATTGAGCCCTGGTGAAACAAAGTGCCCTCTCCTCTGCGCTCCCCTGGCGGCGGCGGTAGCGAGAGGACGGCAGCAACGGCAGCCATATCAAAATCCTCTCGGACACCCAGGACCCCTTTGCTATCCTGTGGAGGCTCGAGGACTACCGAGGAGGCCAAAAATGACGGAGACTAGGAAAGGATCGCGGTTATGGGCGCATACCTGTTTAGAAGCCTCCTAGATAGGGTCGGAGTAGATGGGGTCGGAGGATCGCGCCGCATCGCCGATGCATCGGCGATGCATCGGCGATGCACCAGCGAAGCACCGGCGATGCATCGTCGACCTCGGCGATGCATCGGCGAAGCGGACGCGAAGCAAATCGGGCTCCACATCGAGCCGCGTCGGCGATGCACCGGCGATGCGACGCGATCCTCCGACCGCATCTACGCTGACCCCTATCTAGGAGGCCTAGATTATTCTGAATATCTTTTAACCGATCCCCATCCCCAGCGCCTTGGCCTGGGCCCCACTGGCCGACTTACATCTCCGTAGATGGGGATGTAGGTCGTTCCCTTGGGGTTTTGAGGGGTGTATCCCCAACTGGGGTGGTACTTGAGTGGGGGTCTCGACGGGGATGGGGATGGGGACGGGGATCGGTGAAACGATACCAATATTCCTCATCTGAAGGGCGGGCCCCTGGAGGCCGAACGTCGACGAAAGACTTAGGTCGAGCATGTCCCCTACAGGCGGATGTTGGAGGACACGTAAAACATAGTCCAACAATATTCAAACATTATTGAAACAATACCCAAAAATCGTCCCCTGGCGAAGTTTCAACTATTTTTGAATATTCCCTTATTCCCTCCCCCTGTGGAGGGGCAGGCCCGACTCAACACGAAAGACCGATCGGCCGCCACAAATATCGCCAAGCCGGGAGGCCCTGCGAGAGCGGCGTGCGCCCCGGCGGGGGCCGACCTCGCCGCAGCCGTTGAAGGACGAGCCGAAGCCGAGGACGCGTATGGTCGACCCGTGCGCCTCTCGGGGGGCACGAAAGGGGGGGACTGCAGAGGGTTTCCACAGCGGCTGGGCGCACATCTGGTCCGACAGCTCGGCGGAGCTCTGGCCACAGCGTTCGGCCACGTGGGCGCTTCCAAAGAAGCAGAGGGCGGCGCTGATCCGCCGCAGGCGCCTCCGACAGCTGGTTCTGGAGAGGTGGAGGCGGGAGGGAAGGGAGAGTTGGAGGAGGGGGTGGTGAAGAGAGCAGGTCGAGGGGAACGAAAGGGGGGGATAGCAGAGGGTAGGGTGGAGAATCGCTCTCGCAGCTGACTTTCCCAGCGCCTTCCGGCGCCATGTATCGAGGAATGGGCCATCAATCGTCGACTCATAGGAAAATATGGGAAGTGGAAGGGAAAACGAAAAACCTGGAAAGTATGGGGAAGTGTTGGAAATACTGTGATTTGTGTGTGCTTATTTCTGTCCCTGGCGTCCCAGTACAATTTGTGTACTATCTGTGTGTCCCTGGTGTCCCTTTGTGTACTTATTTGTGTGTCCCTTATTTGTGGACTTCTTTGTGGGCCCCTTCAGCAACCCAACACTGCGTTTCTCGGTCTTTGGCCGAGGGCGTCTGGGAGTCTGGGCAGCCCGCTGCGGTCGTCGGCGGTGCCGGGGAGAAGGAGGGGCGCGCGAGGACGCGGCGGGGCGGCGCGCGCAGCGTTGGGAGGCAACTGCTGGGAGGTCTTCGCCGGGCCTCGGGACCGTCAAAAAACGACTCAGGAGCAAAAACGGGCCCCAGGGAAAGGGTCGGGACTTCGGGGACGCCGTCCTGAACAAAAATCAGGACGTCGCATGTCTGGGCCAGAGTTTGGAATTCCATGTGAGCCTTGCTCCAGAACAGGAACATACCGTTGACGTATCTAACCTTTCTCCGACCATGCGCCGCGCCGAACGCAACGGCCACGTCGTCCACAGACGCATCCACCCTGAGAGTGCATATGGGCGTCACGGCACCCAAGGTGTCCATAGACGCACTTGGCTAGGACGTGAGAGCGGTATGTGGCATCGGTCAGAGATGTTGGTCTTCTAGAATGGAAACAGAAACTGCATACACACAAACGTTTGGCGCTCCTCGCGGATTTCTCGGATCTGTGCTGACCCCCCTCCCTAGCGCGCAAGGCTCGCCAGGAGCGACGCCGGAAGTGGCGCCCGGGGGGTCCCAGCGCGGATCCGAGAAATCCGCGCGGAGCGCCAAAACATTATGTTGATAACGTTTTTCCTTCTCCGAGTATCCCCGACTGGGGGGGTGACTTGGCGGGGGTCTCGAAAGGGATGGGGATGGGGAGGGGGATTGGTGAAACGATGCCGGCGATCGGCGGCGTTCCGATCGCCAAATCGTTCTGTATTGGCCCAGCCTGGGCCGCTGGCGTCGTTCCACCGTGACAACGCCCGCGGCGGGGCCGCAGCCGGTCAACATCGACACGAACCCAGCGTAACCCAAGGGGCCCCATGACACACCAATACATATACATCAGGAACAGGATGCCCCAGATCTTCCGATGTGTTCTGTGGCTTCTCATCCTCCCCCCACTTCACATACTTCCCCATCTTCTCCTGGGAGCCGACGATTCACTGTGTCTGTGTGCGTTGTTCGGCCTTCGGCCGACGGCGCCTGGGCCTCTGGGCAGCCCGGTGCCCTCGTCGGCAGCGCCGGGGCGAGGGAGGGGCGCGCGAGAGGACGCGGCCCGGGCGGCGAGCGCAGCGTTGGACTTCTGTCGGGCGTGTCCCCCGACAGGGGGATTTTCGACGAAAAAATAAAAATACCACAGTTAGCCTGGCGAAGGACCCAACCATATGCAGTTGTGAATGCCGCAATTGTGCTGGGTGATGGCGGACGCACGCGGGCGGTGCCACTGGGACCTTCGGTGGAGCTCCCTATGGGGCCACGAAGCGCTGTACTGGGTGGGCGAGACGCGGTCAGCAAGGGCTGTGCTGCGTGGTGGCGGACGCATGCGAGCGGTGCCACTGGGACCTTCGGTGGAGCTCCCTATGGGGCCACGAAGCGCTGTACTGGGTGGGTGAAACGCAGGCAGGGAGCAAGGGCTGCGCAGGGTGGTGGCGGACGCATGCGGGCGGTGCCGCTGGGACCTTTGGTGGAGCTCCCTATAGGGCTACGAAGCGCTGTTCTGGGTGGGTGAAGCGCAGGGAACAAGGGCTGTGCTGGGTGGTGGCGGACGCATGCGGGCAGTGCCACTGGGACCTTTGGTGGAGCCCCCTATGGGGCCACGAAACGTGCGAAGGGTGTGCCAGAATGGGGTGTGGAACCGCATGCCAGCGCAGCCACTGGGGCCTTCGGTGGAGCTCCCTATGGAGCCACGAAACGTGTGAGGGGTGTGCCGAAATGGGGGGTGGAACCGCATGCGAGCGCAGCCACTGCGGCGTTCGGTGGAGCTCCCTATGGGGCCACGAGACGTGTGAAGGGCGTGCCGAAAAAGGGTGTGGAACCGCATGCGAGCGCAGCCACTGGGGCCTTCGGTGGAGCTCTCTATGGGGCCACGAACCGTGTGAGGGGTGTGCCGAAATGGGGGGGGGACCACATGCGAGCGCAGCCACTGGGGCGTTCGGTGGAGCTCCCCATGGAGCCACCCACGAAGCGTGTGAGGGGTGTGCCGAAATGGGGGGTGGGAACCGCATGCGAGCGCAGCCACTGGAGCGTTCGGTGGAGCTCCCTATGGGGCCACGAAACGTGTGAGGGGTGTGCCAGAATGGGGGGTGGAACCGCATGCGGGCGCAGCCACTGGGGCCTTCGGTGGAGCTCCCTATGGGGCCACGAAACGTGTGAGGGGTGTGCCAGAATGGGGGGTGGAACCGCATGCGGGCGCAGCCACTGGGGCCTTCGGTGGAGCTCCCTATGGGGCCACGAAACGTGTGAGGGGTGTGCCAGAATGGGGGGTGGAACCGCATGCGGGCGCAGCCACTGGGGCCTTCGGTGGAGCTCCCTATGGGGCCACGAAACGTGTGAGGGGTGTGCCAGAATGGGGGTGGAACCGCATGCGGGCGCAGCCACTGGGGCCTTCGGTGGAGCTCCCTATGGGGCCACGAAACGTGTGAGGGGTGTGCCAGAATGGGGGGTGGAACCGCATGCGGGCGCAGCCACTGGGGCCTTCGGTGGAGCTCCCTATGGGGCCACGAAACGTGTGAGGGGTGTGCCAGAATGGGGGGTGGAACCGCATGCGGGCGCAGCCACTGGGGCCTTCGGTGGAGCTCCCTATGGGGCCACGAAACGTGTGAGGGGTGTGCCAGAATGGGGGTGGAACCGCATGCGGGCGCAGCCACTGGGGCCTTCGGTGGAGCTCCCTATGGGGCCACGAAACGTGTGAGGGGTGTGCCAGAATGGGGGGTGGAACCGCATGCGGGCGCAGCCACTGGGGCCTTCGGTGGAGCTCCCTATGGGGCCACGAAACGTGTGAGGGGTGTGCCAGAATGGGGGTGGAACCGCATGCGGGCGCAGCCACTGGGGCCTTCGGTGGAGCTCCCTATGGGGCCACGAAACGTGTGAGGGGTGTGCCAGAATGGGGGGTGGAACCGCATGCGGGCGCAGCCACTGGGGCCTTCGGTGGAGCTCCCTATGGGGCCACGAAACGTGTGAGGGGTGTGCCACCGCATGCGGGCGCAGCCAACGGTGTGGGGGTGTGAGGGGTGCCAAATGGGGGTGGAATATGCGGGCGCAGCCACTGGGGCCTTCGGTGGAGCTCCCTATGGGGCCACGAAACGTGTGAGGGGTGTGCCAGAATGGGTGTGGGAGGGGGAGGAGGGGGGAGGAAGGGGAGGAGGAGGAAGGAGGAGGAAGGAGGAACGCGGGGCGACGTCTCTTCAAAACGAGGACCCAACACCACAGGATGGTTGGGAAAAATGCCCCAAGAAGGTCAACACATACTTAAAAAATAGCCCCCATGCTATTTTTTGACATTTGTTTTAGCATTTGTGGTGTCTCTTTTATGTTAACGTTCGACTTGGCCCTCCAAATCCGAAGCAGCGCCAGAGGCGGCCATGCATCGAGGAATGGGCCCCTCGGTGGGGCCGAAACCAGCTGCATGCAGCAGATTTCGTCCCCCCCCCCCTTCCCCAATCCCCCCCTCTCGTCCAGCTCGAAAATCCGAAGCAGCGCGGCGCCACTTGCACGAGGTTGCGCAGCCTCTCCAGGAGCTCCTCGCCGGCCGCGGCCGCAGGGAGCGGGGGGACGCCGCCGCCCGCCCCATTCGCAGGGGCGGGGGCCGCGCGCAGGGCGCGAGGGGGGCCCAGCCTCCACCACCATCTGCAAGGAGGCAAGAATGGGGAGGTCTTCATCCTCCTCCTCCTCCTCCTCCTCCTCCTCCTCCTGCTCCTGCTGCTGCTGCCTCTGCCTGTGGCAGTGGTGGTGGAACAACGGCCCAGCAGGGCGGGCGCCGATCGGTGACCCCAGCGCGGCGGGGAGCCGAGGCAGATGGCGGCAATCCCGCGGCGAAACGCCCAGGGGACCTTCGCGTCCTGAACAAATGGCCCTCCAGACCTGGGCGGTCTTGGGCTCTTCGGGGACGGATAAGGGGATGACCCGAAAAACATACGAAAATCCCCAAGGAAAACCCGAAAACGGCCATTACCAACTTTGCGCCCGGGCCTCGCCACTCCCCTGGACCCCTCCCTTGAGGGCTTCGCCCCAACAGAACGTCATCACTCGTACCTCGCTCTTTCCGTGCCCTGTAGACCTGTCGGGGCTGCTCCAAACTTCGACTGGGTTTTCAGAGTCGAGGTCCTGGTGCTATTCGAAAGCCCTCGAGGAAGGTCTGAGGGGGAGTATGGCATGGCCCGGGACGCTCTGGCGTGGCGGAGCCCAGCGGTCGCAGAACGAAGGCAAGGTCGGGAGAACGCCAGGTCGGGACCCAGGACGCAGGACGAAGCCAGGATGACAATCAATTTGGGTGAGAAGCCGAGAACCTCGGAGATCCAACGGCTCCTGAGGATGTCTCCGGCGCCGCCGCCTTCTGAGCGTTCCGGGAAGCGCCCTGGAGCGGATCTATTCTCGTCCCAGCCCCGTCCGAGTGGCAGAGCCCAGCGGGCGCAGAACGAAGGCAAGGTCGGGAGAACGCCAGATCGGGACCCAGGACGTACCACAACACCAGGGCGAGGATCAACTTCGGGTGAGGATCAATCGAGAACCTCGGAGATCCGGCGGCTCCTGAGGATGTCTCGGGCGCGGCGGCCTTCTCAGAGCGTTCCGGGAAGCGCCCTGGAGCGGATCTATTCTCGTCCCAGCCCCGTCCGAGTGGCGCAGCCGAGCGGGCGCAGAACGAAGGGCGGTGCGGTCCCAGAGAGCGGGGTTCCTGGAGGAGGAGGAGGAGGAGGAGGAGGAGGAGGAGGAGGAGGACGAGGAGGAGGAGGAGGAGGAGGAGGAGAGGAGGAGGAGGAGGAGGAGGAGGAGAAGGAGGAGGAGGGAGGAGGAATAGGAGTAGGAGGAGTAGAGTCGGAGTCGGAGTCGGAGTAGGAGGAGGAGGAGGGAGGAGGAGGAGGAGGAGGAGGAGGAGGAGGAGGAGGAGGAGGGGGGGAGGAGGAGGAGGTCACCTCCTGTAGAGGGAGAGGCCCGACTTGACACCGAGGGCCAGGGCCAGCTTCTGATTGCCCGAGCCGTTCGTCGGGCGGCCTCAGGGCCTGGCGAGGGCTCTCCCAGAGGCCTCCGAAAGCGGGCGAACCACGCAGCCCTGCTTTGAGTCTGCGGTCTCTTGTCTCCTCGAGACGCCGGAGTTTGGTCGGGCGTGTCCTCCTACAGGGGGACTTTGAACGAACAATTAAAAATAGTTCAAACCAGATTCCCAGACTGGTCACCAAAATCGCAAAACAAAATCGTCCCCATACTATGTTTGGATTATTTTTGAATAGTCCTCCTGTAGAGGGACGTGGCCGACACAACGCCAGAGCTGAGAGAAGAGGCCCCCTACCAGAAGACTCAGAAGGCCGCGCCCTCGTGCGTGGCGTCTGACGGCGGACAGGTGGGTCTGCCCCGATGGAGCCTGGCTGGGGCCAGCCTTCCCTCCCCTTCGCCTGATCCTCCTCCAACCTCCTCCGTTCCGTTCTTGTCCACCCCTTTCGTCCGCCTTCTCATGCTCCACCCTCCTTCCCCTACTCCTGCACCCTCCTCCTCTTCCTCATCCTCCTCCTCCTCCTCCTCCTCCTCCTCCTCCTCCTCCTCCCCTCACCCCCCCTCCTCTCGCTCCCGACCTTCGTTCCGCCCCCCCCCTTTCATCCACCCACCTCCTCTCAGGGGCGCGCAAACATGGATTAGCGATCCATGGATTTGGCGCGCGGTCGCCAAATCCATGGATCGGGGGCGGTCCCCTCCGCGAAATGCGGCGGGTGCCGCCTCGCTTGGCGACGGGAATCCGCGATTTTCCACGGAAGCCGGACCCGTGGCTCATCCACGCCCCCTTGATCCAAGTTTGCGATCGCCCGATCCTCCCTCGTCGTTCTCCTCCTCTTCGCTCCTCCTCCACTCTCCTCCCCCTTCACCGCTCCCTGGCGCCGCGCAGAGGGGGGCAGCGGGAGGGGGGAGGGCCTCTTCTTGGAATGCGCCAGCCTCACTTCTAAACGGAAGGCCCGCGCCTTCTAAGGAGCAGGGGTGCGTCTGAGAAGCCCTCCCCCCTCCCCCCACCCCAGAGATCCGATGTTCTGACTTGTTCACTGCGGGGCCCCTGGAGGTCTC